AAGTAAAAAATGTAGAGCTATACCCCCCCCCCCCCCCCCACAAGTCTTCACGGCATGGCGCTTAATTAATTAGCACAGAGAAAACTTTACCTTTAGTGCATAAGCCTCTATATACCCTGTTTATGGAATTCCACGCTCATGTTTTCTTGATTAAGTACCGGTATACTTCGTCTTAATCAAAATTCCCCATCAAGTTTGTCGATACATCTTGCTGGAAGTTTGTGTTAATTGCTTTCGTAAGCTTGAAAATCCCTACTTACTACAAGTTAAAGAGAGAACTTGCATGTCGCATAGGATGGCAGCAGAAAAGTTGAAGGTCGGAATTCCGTTACGATATAGGTTAGGGTTGGCCTGTAGCGTCTCTGAATTGTTTCTTACACGAGGCGGAGCAAGAAAACGTGATTTGATTTAATAGCCTGTAGGAGTGGAGGAGGCCTATCGGGTCTGTTCATGTGCTGCGAAGATGTGCAAGCGTGGATGATTGATTTTGCTGTACTCTAATGACATTTTTTTTCTTCGATTGCAGTGGTTCTGTAGCGTGTTTCTTTCTGTTGCCCCCACACTCTTTTTCTTCAAGAAAGAAAAGACAGAATGAAAGAAGCGACAGAAGTAATGGAGGTGTTTTATTTTATTCTAGATTTTTTTCGCGATGCTATTCAGTTGCTAAGGTTAATACAGTATTGCATGTCTTTTTCTTTCGTGTCCTTGTCGATTACTTTCATCAAACGTGAAAGAAAGACAAAACGATAGAAAGAAAAGATAAAGAAGAAACGAGATAATAAATGAAGGCGTTGATTATTTAATGACGCATTTCAGTTCCTAATGTTACACAGGTGTTGCGCCTCGTTCTTTGTGTCCTTGCCATTACTCTAATGACATTTTTTTTCAAAGAAAGAAATAAAGGTAGATGGAAGAAAGAAAAGAAAGAAAAAATGAGGCGCTTTATGTGGTTCTCCAGATATTTAAAGGCGAGTAACTTGCAGAGGTTGTATGGTATGGGCTTCTCTTTGTCATTGACTTCCTTCAAGAAGAAAGAAAGATAGAAGGTAGGAAAGAGAAAAAGAATGGAAGATAATTTTATTTTTCGATTATTCTCATTTTTTTTAGTTACTGGAGTTCCGTAGCATCGAATATTATATATATATATTTTTTTAATGACGCTTTCTATATCTGTAGCGTTTGACTGGTGAATGATGAATTGGAAAGCATTTGGAAGTAGGCAGTCGTGGCCTATTCTAGGTACTGCCCCAGCATTTGCCTGCATGGTTTGAAGAAAACCAGGAGAATACTCATGATAACCGCTGGCGTTTCCAGGATTCCAACCGACCTCTTACTGACTATAAGCTTACAGCGCTATCAAACCTGTTCGATGCATCGACTGGCAGAACAAAAGTCCGCAAGCGAACTATACCGACCGAGCGACCGTCGCTTGTCGGCGAAGTTAGTGCCAACTTTAGCGGATAGAGGTTGTCGCGTGGTCAGCTTAACGAATCCCCACGGCCGGTAATTTCGGTTTTCTAGACCGGAGCCGCTGTTTTTCCATTCAGGTAGCTCCTCAGTTATCCTCACGAGGCTGAATGGACCCGTTCCAGACCCATTATTTCTCAGAAAATCTGGTAGCGCCGTGAATCGAACCCGGTACCTGTGAACCCTGACCACTGTCAGTAGAATGCGTGTGAATGTTACGCATTTCCCATACATGTACGTAATGTAATGTTTCTGTGTTTCCAGATGGCTGTGATCATAGCGAGATGTATGGCATGTCGGGAAAGTCTCCAGGACCACAGTTCTCGTATCCGGCGTTTACGTTTCCAGGACCTCAGGTACAAAAAGGCACTGCAGTGTTCAGCCGTGGTTGGCACTTAGTTAAATAGAGGGGAGGGGGTGAGGCGGAATCACAAGAAGCAGGGGAGAACAAAATATGGGGGAATGTTTACGGCGAACATATTCCCAATAACACAACACCTCTCCAAATTTACTTTCTCATAAAATGGCAAAGTATTGTAGCACCAGCAGAAATAGCAGTAGTACCGTTTGTAGTGTGGCACGCGGTAGCGTAGTTGGCTGAGGCACCATGCTACAAGCCGGAAGGTCGCGGGTAGATTTTTTTCTGTTGACCTAATCCTTCCAGCCACATTATTGCCCTGGGTTCAACTCAGCCTCTAACAGAAATGAGTACCATGAATCTTCCTGCAGGTAAAGGGCGGTCGGCGCGTAAGGCTGACAACCTCACCGCCATCTGTGGGCCGATTGTCTAGAAAATGTGAGAGCCTCGACGTCTCAGAACCTTATGGGCCTTCACGACCTGTTACAGATGTATAAATAAGTAAAGTTATATAATACAGCCTCTAGTAATTTCTTGCAACTTGTTGTGTAAATCACGGTAGTTAATATTGTATATTAGTGTATATTGTATATTATCAGTGGATCCACTCAACTTAATTGTGAATTGAATCTGTAGACAGGCAGGCGTGTGCCGAAACATGTCCCAGAGAGCAGAATCCATTTGCTGAAAATAGTGTTGTTGACAGGGATAAAATAAATCTTAAATGTAGTGTAAGAGAGTACTTCTAAGTTGAAACTTTTCTTTCATCTTTTGTGAAATCCTTGCCCCCGTAAATTGGTCACGCTGGTACATTCTTTCATTTATAGACTGGAAAATGTTCAGTTACCCATTTCAGCATTTAAGACTTCCAAAGTTTTTGGACCCTGGGACGTGAGGACGCAAAATATATGGTTCATCCAAGTGGTTTTTGCTTTTTTATGACAGTAAACCAGTTTTATGACTGGTGTTAAGTAAAGGTGAAGCTATCCCTGTAACAGGCCTGGAAGGGGCCCATAGGGATGTCAAGGGTGCCACATTTTCTAGACAGTCTGCTCACAGATGGCGGTGAGGTTGTCAGCCTTACGCACCTGCCGCCCTTTACCCCAGGAAGGTTCCTGGTACTCATTTCTGTTAGAGGCTGAGTCGACCCCAGGGCCATAGTGCGGCTGGAAGGAATAGATTAATTGAAAAATCAGTGACCTTATTGGAACTCGAACCCGCAACCTTCCGGCTTGTAGCATAGTGGCTTAACCAACTACACTGCCGCGTGCCCCTGACTCTTCTTAGACATTCTCAAATATGAAGCTAGTAGTGAATATGAAAGAGGTGAAATTTCGATTGTCTTCCTCTGCTGAAAGTAAGCATAAGACTTCATATCGCTTTTATTTACTTTGTCTACTTTGAGTACAATTATTCTTGTTAATTCCTTTATCAGTGGCGATGTTTTAATATTAAAATAAATAAAAATAAAAAATAGAGATATTAATGATGTAATATTTAATTCTAAAGCTTGGAGCAGATAGGAACTATATTTTTACATTTTTTATCTCATATGTGATGAGCCTTGTACTTTTTTTGTTAAGGAATCCTTGTCAGAAAAGTATCATAAATAATTAAGTGAAATTACAGTGGAATTTTTTAAGTGTTCAGTATATAATAATATGCATACAGTTGTATAATAGAATAATGTAATGTAATGTATAGAAAACAGGAAGTTCTGGGAAGAACTGATCACTTACTCTGCTCTGATACAACATGGGCTGAATAGAAAATGATGCATCCAGCAGTTCTTCAATTGTTGTGTATTCGTTGCTGTGGGCATTCCCTTGCAACATGCATGTACAGAACACAGGCAGATGGGAGGGATTTGTGAAGTACGCCATTGAGAGGGGCTCACGTGCCGTGATATACATACCAGGTCTCGTAAAGATTGGTTCAAGCATTCAAGTGTTAAGGGGGGGATACATTGACTCACAGACAAAATGGTGGTCACATAAGCCTACTTCTATTTTTTCAAAATAAGAAATGTAAGTTATTAAAATATCTTTTTCTTCATATTTTGATGTTTCTAATTTTATGTGCGCTGTCTGACAACCAAGCCCCTCCATCTGTCCCTGCCTTCCAAAATTTACTTCTCAGTTTTCTTACATGTTCCTTCTTCCTTCTTCAGGACGTGTTTCTGTTCAGATCATGATCTTGGTCTCACACTTGGGCGTGTTTCTTACATCTTCATCTTCAAAACATTCTTTCAGATTATGTGTAATAATGTTACATGGTTATGCACTAACAACTGATAACACTGATTTTATTTTGTTTGGGTTTTTTCTTTTAGGGAGTTCAGTACACACAGCTGATGCATGCAGCCGGGAAGGGAGCAACATACTACCACCAGTTGTCCCTGCAGGAGGATCAGGGCATCGACATGACCCAGGTCAGTTGACAGCAGTACTGTTGCCGTGTTGTTGCTTCTAACAAAATAATGTCAGTACAGTTGAAGCAACATGCACATGTTTGAAAAACTGTCAATAAAAATATTTAGAAAAATTATCTCTCACAGGTGATGAAATCTTAATAGAATAGTAATAACTTTTTGTTTCTACCATTCTGTTCCCTTGAAGCCACCATAATGCCATTAGAGTCAATTATTGTTCAGAGAATAAACATCTTGCCTTCGTTTGCTGCTGAGGGTAACCGAGATCAGAGTTTAAGGAGTATGTTTGGGCCGAAGAGGGTGGATATAACGAGGGACTGGCAGAAAGTGATACATGAGGAGCTTCATAATTTAGGCTCTTGCCAGATGTTATTAGGCCGATCAAGCGAAGGAGGATTAGATGGGTGGCACGTAGCGCACACTAGAGAGAAAAGAAATGTATGCCAAATTTTGGTAGAATAAGCTGAAGGAAAGATGGTACTGGAAAGACCTAGTCGTGGATAGTCTTTAAAGAAATACTTGGAAGGGGATGGACCGGGTTCATTTGATTCCAGATGCGGAGCAATGATCAGCTCTTGTGAAGATAGTGATAAGGATCAGTAAAAGGCAGGAAATTTCTCGATTTGCTGAGTGACTACTAGATTCCCAAAAAGGACACTGATCAGTGGAGTTTATTAGTAGAGTTTGTGGGCTTGTATCCTTTTTGTTCTTATCTCTATTGCTCATTTTTGTCTTTTATTTATTCATCTGCAAATATTTGTAAATAATAAGGGGACTTATTTTGAACTTCACCAAATGAAGACTGATTTCTAGTGAAGGGGTTTAATTAATGTTGGCAGAGTCCTGGTCGAGACAGTCCTGGTTCATCTGGTTCTGGGTCAGGCTCAGGATCGCGTCACAGCACCGCAAGTTTGGACAGTGGCCGAGCATCAGGGTACCATCTTCTGGGTCCTTCTGGCCCACGGAGCAGTGGCACTACTATGGGTGGCCTCTCTTCAAGCCCACGATGCTCACTGTCGTCATCATCCCTGGGTTCATCAGAACATGGTGGCCCAGCTGCACGGGCAGAAAGGCTGTTGCATCAAGGAGTGCCTGTGAGTGCATAAATTGATTACAGGGGCCTGTAGCCCAAAAATGCTGTACTTCGCTGGCTCGAGACAGTCAAAATATTTCTACATGAGATTCTCCCTTTCCTCTGAAAAAAGTGACACTATGAAAATGGTTCAGAGCCATGGCCAACATCTGCTGTCATCCATGCCCCCCATGCTTTGGTAAAAGGTTGTGGCACTATGCATGTTTCATTATAGAGACCTACAACTGTAGAACAGTCTGAAAAATTATTTTGAAAAGACTGAAATATAAAACTCAGAAAATGTTCTAGTGCCCCCCCCCCAAATCCTGGTAGTGCCCATATTTAGATCTCATGCGAAGATAGGATTCACATCATCCATCATCAGCATGTTCCTACTGTCTGGAGAGCAGACTGAGGTGTTCCCACCTCAGAAATTCAATTCAATTCGTGTTTATTTACGTGCAATAACTTAACAGCACAGTGGCCAATTAAATGGAACTAATAATAATAATAATAATAATAATAATAATAATAACAGCAACAGAAGTAATGATTATTAGTGGCACAGTTGTCATTATCATCAGCAGCAGCATCATTATTCTGTAATTCTAATTTGTACATGCATTGCTAGACATGTCTATTTCCAGCTACATTTATGGTTTTCGGTAACCCAAGACTTACTCTTGGCTCTGTCTATTGTCTTGAGTTCATTAAAACTGCTTTGGAGGTTAACCATTGCCCAGGTTTACTAAGGCCACTATGTTTTGGGAGTTGGTTCAATTTCCATTTTCCAAAATGTAATTGTTTTAATAAATGTGGACATTGCACAAAGTCCAAAATAATAGTTTTAAACACATTTAACTTCATCGCACTGTTAACACAGAGAATCTTCCAATTAATGCTCTGACTTACGGTTTCCCCCTCGTTTGATTTTCATTTTCGGTGTCACAAGTCCAGAAAGTGTAAAAGTTTCCACCATTTTAGGGATTCCTCAGTTTACTGTTCAAATTAACTACCATCCAAAGACACCTTAAATGGGTATTTCCCAGTAACACCATTTGGCATGGTTTTTGGCCCAGTATGCTATAGGATTTACGAACTAATGTCAGTATCTGAATCCAGTTATTAAAGAGTGTTCATGCACGTCTATTTACCAGACTTGTAGTTTCAAGTCATGTGCTTTACTGGTTTTTACTGTTGTAACTTGTACTGAAATGGTGTTTAGGTTTAAACCCTTGTGTATGGTTTCTTTTTATGGTTACCACACGCCACTTGCAAACTATAAATCATTTGGTTACTTCTAAATTGCAATGCATATTTCAACAGCTTATTCCTTTCCCACCATATACATTTAGTAGGTTACACCCCGCTGTGTAGTACATATGCCTCGTAAAATAACAAGCATTATGACTCTCATCTGTCATCCTGTCCCATATACCAATTCTAACTGCTCTTTTGTGCTGGCCATATTTTAACCATGCTTAAATCTGATTAATTTTGATAATAATATGGACAATGAAAATATTTATATAAAAGTTCATAATTTTTACTCAGAGATATTGGGTTTTTGGACTTTATCCATCGTCCTGGTTTTTAAGATAACTAAGAAAAACACGACGTTTCAGAAACTGGATCTGTTTCCATCCTCAGGTGAGGGAAAACACCTATTCTGTTGGGTCCCTTAGAAAGAGCTAGTCTCAATCACTGGACAAACCAGGACAATGGATAAAGTCCGAAAACCCAATATATCAGTGTGTTATACACCATCGTCAGAATCCTATAGTAAATAATTTTTACTGTTTGTCTAATAATGCAAGGATGATTTGATCACTGCAAATCATGCTTTGCAGGAAATGGGAAATGCTTGTAGCATTTTGGTTCAGAAATTATGGGAGGAATTGACTGTGTGGAAGATTCAGTTGTAGAAGAGAAGATTAATATTATAACTGATCTTTGTGAGTTAGGTTGTGAAGGTAGGGACTGGCGAAGAAGGGGGTTTGGTGATGAAATTTTATGAATACGATGATGAAGTTTTATGTGTGATAAAAGCAGGGACCTTATTTATCACTCGAGTGACTATCAGCTTTTTAAGGAAGGTCATAAAACGTGGTGAATAAATGGATGCACTTGGGTAAGATACTGGACTCTCATTCAGAGAGTTCTGAGTTCAGTCCTTGGTCAGATCTGTGTTCACTTTTCTGCTCACAGATTTTAACCTGTACCAAATATAGTACTGATCTCAACACAGAAACTAGCACTTCAAATCATTATGAAGTCTTCTTGTTATTTCGTCTTCAACCACTGCACTCCTCTGTCCTAATCTGTACTCATATAATCTTCACAGTTCACTAAGGACATGCTCCATTCTTGTCCTTATACTCTCAACTGCTCCTGGCTTGTAAATTCTTGTGAATTCACTTCTCATGTAAACATTATGCACAGACCCCATGGGAAACAGTCTGTATAATTGTTGATGTCACCATGTTACATATCACAGTCCGATACACAGAAATGTGTTTACTGAGCCCTTGCCTAGAAATGGATTGCATAACCCAGTTCTGTTGTTGCATGTGTGTATTGCAGGTTGTTTATCAAGCCGTTGCCTAGCAATGTGTTGATCAAATCCATTACAATATTTTGAGAATGTGAAGAATATGAGGTCCTCCCCTGTGGTTCAGGAGCCAATACCAGTCTGTAGATTACCTTTACTGACCATCCCCTTGAAGGCTTTTGTCATAATGTAGATTGTTAGTAACATTTCATAGGAACTTGCTCCCTCCTTCTTCAGTTACTCCTCATAGTTACTGCGCATTTAGGCACTGGAAGCTAACTGTAATGGAGATGTTAAGAAAATGAAAGTAACTGGGAACATCAGTTATATATAGCAGAATCTTACCATGGTACCAATACAGTCTGAAAGTGCCAAGTATATGTGATTTTGGAGGCATTCATGAAGGCTGTAGAAATGATAAAGGTGACACATTATTTCAGGACCAGGATGTGCTCCACTCATGGCTAATGGATCTCCATTTTGAGGAGTATTTTCCTTTGTTTGCCTCGGCCGGCTATGACATGCCAACTATCTGCAGAATGACTCCTGAGGTAAGTAGCAATCATGCCGCATATTCTGTTCTGCCATAACTTTAGTAGTGATAGACAAAGTTTTCTTTTTGCTTATTTAAGCATCATGCTCTGAAGATGTTGAAGAGTAACTCCATGAATTCTGAACTTTGCCACCAGTTGGGGTTAAGTGTTCAGCTTCACACCTCATCTGCTTTACCACTGGAGGAAGAGCCCCTGAAATGCGTTCGATAAGAGGCCGAATGGGCCATAGAGACACTCTGGATGTTGAATTCTGTGGAGAGGAGAAGAATCTCTTGCCCTGCCAGTAGACATCTCATTCCCAAGTTGTCCTGCCCATACCCTAGTCACATTGGCTGAGCGATGATAACAAATCTTGACATGGATACTCTTAGAAACATTAATTTAAATGACTTTGTACACCATGTCTATGCGTTAAACATAATTATTCTACATTTACTCTAGGTGCAGAGCGAACAATGGCTGGAGAGACTCACTTCTCAATAATGGATTTATTGACAATATTATATTTAAGCATCCTGTTACACTCACACAATATATATGAGACAAACTCTGTCTTAAGTGCAACAATTTAATTGTAGTTCTTTCTTCTTCCCCTCACTCCACACTACATGTTTCGGCCCTAAATGGCCATCATCAGGTGTGTATTCTTACGTAGCTGCTACACTGCCTGTAGTTTAAAATTTAAAATCACTAGTCTTTCCAATTGTTTGTAAATGTAAAATCTTTGTTAACCTACACGCGTCAATTTGATTTCTAAAATTGGCACTTTTTTTAAAACTTCAATTCAAATTAAAATGTCTATAAATTTTCCGTTCTTTTTCTTTTTCCAAATTTTTTTAATTAAAATTAAAAAATAAAGATAAGCAGCGACACACACAGAGAGAGCCTACACAGAACAATACCTGAACAGCGATAAAACAAGAAGTGGCCGCTGCAGCACTATAGACATAGGGCATGTACCCTGAGAAAATTTTAATTAAAAAAAATTTTTTGGAAAAAGAAAAAGAACAGAAAATTTATAGACATTTTAATTTGAATTGAAGTTTTAAAAAAAGTGCCAATTTTAGAAATCAAATTGACGCGTGTAGGTTAACAAAGATTTTATATATACATACAATTGGAAAGACTGGTGATTTTGAATTTTAAACTACGGGCAGTGTAGCAGCTACGTAAGAATACACACCTGATGATGGCCATTTAGGGCCGAAACATGTATTATGGAGGAAGGGAAGAAGAAAGAACTACAATTAAATTGTTGCACTTAAGACGGAGTTTGTCTCATATATATGGATTTATTGACCACTTGCACACATGACTCATGACCACACTTTACAGTTCACTGTGACACACATACTAGTGTTATCAGTCTGATACAGTCTCCAATAGTCATTGCCTGATAACAGTTCTCAACAATGGCTATTCCTGTGTAATGTTTGAAATTTCCTGGTAATGGATATTAACAATGGAGATTCTTCAGCTTCCATGGTCACACTATGGCCCGCTGGTTAACACTTCACACCTGAACTCTTTCATTCATTAACCAACTGCTTTACTTCACTCAACTGAACTGCCCTCAGCCAGCCTGGGGTCTTCGCTGTATAGCCTCAGGGCAGGCTCAACAGAAGACACTGTATCCAGCGATCCCTCTGTTATTATGGATGGTTGCCTAGCAGTAGCTCAGATATTGATATCTTTACCAGCTGTTAGCAAGCAATGCATATTCCTTCTTGTGATCGGTGCATAGCAGTGGTTTTTTTTATTGCTAGTGGGGTGGGACTAAGTCCCTTGTACTGTGGCCACTTCTGGCCTATTGTACCAGCCCCAGATGATAGGTGAGGGCGATTGTGGAGCAGTTGGTGGAATGAAGATTACCAGGGGAACCCGAAGTACTCGGAGAAAACCTGCCCAAATGCCACTTTGTTTACCACAAATCCCACTTGACCAGACCCCAGATCAAACCCGGGCCACCGCGGTGGGAAGCCAGTGACTAACCGCTTGAGCTGAGGCGCGGCTGCATAGCAGTGGTACTAAATGTTAACTATTGTTTTAGTAATGAAGCTTTTTTTCCATAGGATCTCACAGCAATTGGCATAAAGAAACCAAATCATAGAAAGAAGCTAAAGGCTGAGATTGCTCAATTGAATATTTCAGATGGACTTCCTGATTATATTCCTGTGAGTATATTTTTCTTGTTTATTATATTTAGGTAACATTTTGTTTGAAAAGTGGGGTATGCTGCCTTCTTTATTCGCAAGAATGAAAAACTGGGCCAAGTATATGCACTTATATATGCATAAAATCAGACTTTTATAGTAATAATCTTCTCGTTTTGACTAACTAAATAATTATCAACCTCAGTAATTTATTAACAACTTAATGATACATTTTGAAGTCTACAAATTGTAATGCACTGTCAGCATTGCGTATCATTGGTCATACCACATAAACTGAAACTCCATGGCTTTTAGTCCGCAAGCGAATTATACCGACCAAGCGACAGCCGCTTGTCGGTGAAGTTTTGCGGCTAGAGGGTGTCACGTGGTCAGTGCAACGGATTCCCGCGGCCTTTAATCTCAGTTTTCTAGACCGGAACCGCTACTTTTCCATTCAAGTAGCTCCTCAGTTATCCTCACAAGGCTGAGTGGAAATTGTTCCAGGCCCACTACTTCTCAGAAAATCTTATAGCACCGGCAATCGAACCCAGGACCTTTGGATCCGTAGCCAGCAACTCTGACCACTAGACCACAGAGGCAGTCATTGGCATTACAAAATGAACATCAGCATATGCCTCATATTTAAATGTCAAAGGAATTTAACTAACACTTTTGCACAATGAAAAAACAACCACCACACCAGTTGAATATAACACTGAGGCTCAGAATAAGTGTGTTACATTGGTGCTAGCACATTGCACTTCTCTGGTGCTTAACTCATTTATGGTAATGAATCAAAATATTGTTTGTAGATTTTTCTTTTGCATCAGATTACCTGTAGAATGTGTTCCCAAATTTTGGCCTTTATTTTGTGGGACACCTGCAAAGCTAAAGTCAATGTAAAATTACCTCAAATAAAGATGAAGGTAAAGTCATCCCAGAGTTTAATAAACTGATGTACCGTAAAGACATATGGGGTAATGAAGGTAAAGCTTCACCATATGTTAACCTTGACACCACACAGAGGTGAGCTTCACACCCTTACCACTTTACCCCCATGAAATGGGTAATAATATGGTAGGAGCCAGAGCAAGTTTGGATGCGTTCATGAAGGGAAAAAAAGTATTCTGAAAATTTTGCAGAGAGATACAAACAAACTCAGTGGCCTATAGTCCGCAAGCAAACTATACCAACCAAGCAACTGCCGCTTGTCGCCTAAGTTAGACAAAGAGATACAGTGTGACTATAAACTTGTTGAGCACTCATCATAAATTTGTATATTTTATTACCCAGGGCTCCATGGAGGAATGGTTGCGTCTGCTTCGACTGGAGGAATATGGCCCAGCACTTCACCAACAAGGTTACCAGACCGTGGAGGACGTAACGCAACTCACATGGGAAGACCTTGAGGATATTGGCATTGTTAAGCTGGGTCACCAGAAGAAGATATTGCTGGCCATCAAGAGAGTGAAGGATGTGCGTGCCGGCAAGAGGTTTCCTCTGCAGCTGGGGACGGATATAATACTCACTAATCTGCCCCCACACCCAGGACAAACACAGGTATCTCAGTTCTCGGACATCCAATCATAGTCTTAGAAGTGCTTTACAGTATCTGAAGAGTACCACATCCTGTGCTTTCTTAAAGAGAGAAAAATTGTCATGTAATTAACCTAAGAAAATGTTCTTTCAGTGCAAACAACAAAAATGACTTGGTAGGTTGGATAAAGTGGTAATGATTCTGAGGAGGCGAAATTCGTATCTCAGTCATGACACTGACAGTCCTGACTGAAGCTTTTTGTGATTTTACTCAGTCCCTTCAGGCCCATTCTGGGCCACAACCTTCCTTTCATAATCTTTTGAAGTTATTGCTCATTATCAAGTCATTTGATGCTGTATAGTCTGAGTTATCGGCAGCTTCATTAAATATAAGAAGCATGAATGTTCGGAATGATAGTTGAGTTTAAAAACTTCTAAAAAGCAAAGTTCATTAGACCTGTCAAGAACTGATAACCATCAGCAGAAGTTGTTTTGTGCCTGCTAATGAACATTAATAATGAGTTATATTTATTGTAGGAGAGTTTAACTTCTGAATTAGGTTAGGTTAGACGCATGTCAGTATCTGTATTTTCATTGTTTTCGCAGTTATAGTAGATTCCGGCCAGAACGCAGACTAGCCTTACTGGTTATCCATGGCTTTCCTCAGTCATTCTTGGCAGTAGTCAGAATGGGGCCTCTAGTTAAGCTTATGACTGCTTCCTTCCACATCCTTTCCAATCTATCAGTTGGCATTATATGATCGGAGCTGCTGACAGCATTTTTATATAAATAAATAGAGTTGTAACATGCAACTTTGGTTTGCTTAAATATTTGGTATATAATGGATATATGTTTTACTGTGTCTGAAACATCTTTGAGGGCATATATTCATCAGATAGNAGCATGAATCCGGTTTCTTTATTGCCACACCTTGTATATTCATCAGATATTGAAACTGATCATTAGGAAGTTTCTGGCTTCTCTTTTCACCATATAATGGGAATAAAAACTGTCATATCAGAGTTCTTATTGACCACACGGGACTTTTCTCATAAGGATGCCATATGCTGGCCAGAATTTCAGCAGTATGTGTATTCTGTTTGTCTTTGTTACTGAGATGATGAATGTGAATAGTACCATTATGGTGCACTGAGCAAGTTGGTTCAAGCATTAGCACTTCTGACCCATGTACAGGAGGTATCTGGTTTGAATCTTGACCAGGGAATTGACTGTCCCGACTGAGGTTTTTCATGGTTTTCCTCAGTCCAGGCAGCCAAATCCCAGGATAGTACCTTAAATTAGGCCCTCACCACTTCCTTGCACATCCTTTCCAATTCATTATTTACTATCGGCCAGTCAACTGACAATGTATAGTCTTGAGTTACTGAGTGCGCCATTAAATGATCAACAAACAAACAAAAACATTACGGCAAATGTAAAATAATAAAAGCATTTCCTAAATTAAGGATTTGCTACTATATTCTGCTGTACAGTTTATTCATATATTGCAATAAAACAGCCTCATGTACATAATGTGAAACTCTCATGGTGACAGTTTGGAATGAAATCTTCTTGGACAATCAGTCTTCTTAACATGAATTAGTATATAATGTTTCGAGAGTGTCTCGTCATGTCAGTAGCAGTTTGTGTGATAGGTGTCACGTGTGGACATGACACTCATCATATCAGTCCCTGATGATGGATACAGAGAGATTTTCCTAAACCTTGGGATACTAGTTATATGAAGACATGGCTGAACACACAAGATTCCATGAAAAGCCACATTTCTTTACTAGCAGAAGAGAAATTCATATATATGTAAATTGAAAAATGGCCATGGATAATCAATTTCATGTTCACATGCTATATGTTAATCAAAAATATTTGCACAAATTTTGAATTTGTGAGATCGAACATACATACATGTAGTGTACACTGGAAGAATATAACTTGCAATAAAGTGGTTGTTCTATGTCTTCTGTATTAGTCTTGGTGTTTAAATTGTATGAGAATATTTATGTGGCATATGAATCTGAGATATTTATCTTGAAATGAAGATAATTTTATATATTGCCTTTCTTAAATCAAATAAGTTATTAATTACAATTAGAATGCATTATGTACTTTAAAGAAAACTGGGAACATAAAATACTGTAAAAATATTTATCATCTGTGATTTTAAAGTCCTTTTTAAAAATATAATTAAAGTTAGGTCAAGTAAATTGTTACAAATAATGCATTGAAACCGGCTGTTGCATTTAACTACTAACTGAACTGCATGTTGTCCTTTTGGTTTAATGTTTCAAACCAGCTCTGTTTCGTTAGTGGAATGTGCCCATACCATCACCTGCCTGGTCCCACTGCTTACATAGGACTATTATTCCTCACTTTATGTGTGCACAATGAAATTTTAGTTCTGTAATGTTCGCTATATACCAAGGAAGTTGTGTACTTGTAATTTTAATTTGTGTTATTGTTACTAGCATGCTGAACAGTTGGTTATGTAGTTGCAATGCAAGGAATTTTTCCCTTTATCTTTTTCATAAAGACATAAATATTTTGAACTGTTATGCCCTATTTGTCTCCGTTACTGAATTTTATATATGATTACCAGCATTTGTAGGTTACTTAATATTGCGAAACCTATGATTGGACAGTTTTAAGAAAGTATCTGGTGCATGGTTTCATAATGCTTAAAAGGATAACAAATTGGAAAGAAAGTATTCTTTTCACTCTGTGTAATTGCCAAGGTCAATCATTCTATAAATGTTTAAGTTTATTTTAGATTTTGAGGGCTGTATCTAAAATATCTCTCACTCTACCAAACAAGTACATGTTTTATTTGAATTTTTGACTATATGAGCAGGTAATTACATGTTTTCAAAAGCTTGTTTAAGCTTTAATGTAAGGAGGCAGATTTGCTTCATTTGCCTGGTCTAATGATGTTATTTTGGCCACAGAATTGACTTTTTTTCCTGAAGATGCCTTGTGGTACAAGCTTACAGAAAGACAGTATATTTTAAAGCTGTGTTTATATTTTTTTACTTGTGTACTAAAAATAAATAGGCAGAATTTGACTAAATGACCGTAGCAGAGATGTAAATGGAAATAGATGCAAGTAGACACAATATGCTGAGTTCCATAATGCTGCTTTTGCTATTTTCAGTGCCTGAAACTATTACTAACAGTAATGAGATGAAGGAATTAATTCCTGAACCTGTGTTATAATGATTTCCTCTACAGTATTTGTTTAATATTCCCCCAAAATTTGTACTGATGTGGGGAATCTTCCTAGTTTTGAACTGGAACATCTCTCTGGTTCTGCAAAACCATTTTAACCCCTGGTCCATCGATTTTGGCCCTTGTACGTTTAAGTTGAGCCAGTTTCAGTTAAATAGCCATAGAATTTGTCCCTTGTAATTTAAGATGAGCCAACTGAGGTGAATAGTATCAGTGAACACAACAATTCTATAATAAACAAATCAGTAGTACTACATCAGTATGCATTTATTGTTTTGAAGTATTGCTACATCATCAGACACTCTTCACAGAAATATGTCACTCCTTATTGGATTATTTACCGATATAGTAGATCCAGATCGGTGATTTATAAATTTTGATTAAAAATAAAATAACTTGCAACTTAAAGTCTGAGGCAATATTACATCCAAGAAGATAGTACTCCTGCAAAAACAAGATCACTTGCATGTGTTAATGTTTCAGTAGTGGTCTTCTGCTGAAAAAAATACTCTGCTGCAAATGTTAGTTCCATGTAGAACTCATCTAACTCAGAGGTGAAAGCTCTCTGATGAAATTTCAGAACCATAAAACCTGATAGGTGATTGTATGGTTTCTGTCTTTCAGAACAAATTCAGTAATGAGATCNGATTATAATCTTAACAATCTTAACTCCCATAGTGGTGGAACTATGTGCGGTGTTTGAATTGGGACAGATAAGATAAATAATTATTTATCTTATCTGTCCCAATTCAAACACCGCACATAGTTCCACCACTATGGGAGTTAAGATTGTTAAGATTATAATCTTAACAAATTTTTAGTATATAAATATTTATTATAATTGATGAACATTTTTTAAATACTTTTTAAATTTTACAATGACATAATGGCAAGCAATGAAATAGATTAATGTAAATGAAGCACCTGATGATGGCACTATAGTGCCGAAACATGTTGTGAAATAACAGGTGAAACTGAGTGCACTACAAGACGGACACGGCATACATATCGTGGACGAAAATCAGTGCAACAGGACGCTAAAATACAACATTATAAGTTCAGTAATAATAACTTCAAGACAAAGACATTCCTTACATTGCAACTGCACTTGTGTGTAACAAAACCAAATCCAGTTTTTGGTTATTTGTTATTTTATTCTTTTAGTTTCATTTCTTTTTTGCATGTGTGGCTGTTTTCTGATTCCATCTGTTTCAAGGAGGTGTTGATCTCAACTCCGCCCGGCGGTGGTTTGAATTCACCTGATGAGGGTGATGATTGCTTCCCACCGAATGTGCACACGACGTTCCATTCATTCCACCAACCGTGGGAGGTGGAAGGGAGCCAGCAAATGTCTTCATACAGCCACCACCACCAACACTTACTGCATCATCATCACCATGCCTTTAGCACGACCACTTCCACCATAGCACCATCACCGTTCAGTTTCCAACCCATGTACTGTCCAGATATTGTCCCCATCAAGGTAGTCACTCAGTCACTCTGTTTCTGCTTCTCTCTCTCTTCAGTAGTTGCAGTGTAATCTGCTCTAACTCTGGTATGATACAGCAAAGTGCCAGTGCAGTAAATTAAATATACAGTTCACTGCGAGACAGTTTTATATAAGTGGTACCTGAAACCAGATCAGCCATTGTTATGTCTTAACATAGTAAAGTAAAGCTATCCCTGTAAAAGCCTGTGAAGGCCCATAGGGTTGTGAGACATTGAGGGTCACTGTCTAGACAATTGGCTCAAAGATGGCGGTAAGGTTGTGAGCTTTACACGCCGGCCACGCTTTACTCCCCAGGAAAATTATTTAATTAATTCCTGGTACTCATTTCTGTTAGAGGCTGAGTCTATCCCAGGGCCATAGTGCGGCTGGAAGGATTAGGTCAGTTGAAAAAAAAAATCCAGTGACCGCATCGGGACTTGAACCCATGACCTTCCAGCTTGTGGCATAGTGCCTCAACCAACTACGCTACCTCGTGCCCCTGTCTTGCATAATCTGACAGTTAAAATGACTGAGCAGTTGTATAAGATAAAACATAGTCACCAACCTTTAGTGCATAATGGTCACTTTTAAAGTACACAGCTTCTGAATTCACACATGCTTCCAGCAGCTTTTTATATTGTCTGTTATTTTCCTTAAGATACCATTAATTAAAACCTCTAAAAATTCAGGATTTTTTTATTGATTGTGTGTCTTATGTATCTAATTGTCATTCAGAGAAATTACAGAATTTCAAGAGGTATTGTAAGTTACGTGTAATTGCAGGTGAAAATATCTGCTGTACTTATGAAACCTTTACTTGTAGATTCCTTGAAGGTTTTAAGTATTCTCAGTCGTAATGGTTACACCTTAACATCTGGGGATTATTTTTTTTATTGCTAGTGGGGTGGGACTAAGTCCCTTGTACCGTGGCCACTTCTGGCCTATTGTACCAGCCCCAGATGATAGGTGAGGGTGATTGTGGAGCAATTGGTGGAATGAAGATTGGCAGGGGAAACCGAAATACTCTGAGAAAACCTGCCCCAGCGCCACTTTGACCACCACAAATCCCACTTGACCAGACCCGGGATCAAACCCGGACCACCGCGATGGGAAGCAAGTGACTAACCACTTGAGCTATGGCGCGGCCCAACATCTGGGGATAATTCACACATTAGCTGTTCTAAGTTCATGATAACTACATGTATAAACTCTTGTGAACTCAAAAGAAATGTATGTGATATTCAGGACAGGTTTCAGAAGTACAGCAACCATATTTGCTTACATCCCAGTAGAAATAAATTTTTTAACACTGGTAATTACATCCTTTTTCTGAAGTTTTAAGAGCATAATTTCTGTGTTGCTTTAGAGATAGTATAACATTAGGGTCTTGTTAAACTTTACCATGGTTTTACACTAAACATGAACTAACTGATATGTGCATTCTAGCATGGCAGTAAAATGTTCATGTTCCCTGCACTTCTTTTGATAATTTAAGAAGCTTACAGTAATCTGGTTTCATTTCCTGAATTTTTAGTGTTATGATCCCACATTTCTAGATAATTAGTGCTAATTGTGCTTCATATCTGTGCATAGCAATGGACCATACATGTTTATTTTTCTGTTCAGTGTTACTGCAATTTTTGCATGTTCTTTTTTTTTAACAGAAATCCATGTTGATAATGTTCTTTAAAGCAATAATGCAGTATAAATCACTACACATAATTTATAACGCTTTTTCCGCCTTTATTTACAAAAAAAAAACTTTTTATACAGAAGTTCACTGCATTGCCTGCGATCCTGAAGACAGTTAAGGAAATCACTGCACAGAGCACCATGCTGTGCAGTGGTGATATATTAAACCAAGTATGTCTACCAATGATTGTAAAGTGATTCCCATTTGATTGCTGGCAAAGAAAGGTTTTCACATAATATGTCTTATTTTTATGTTACTGTGTATACCGTATTTATGCATGTATAGGCCGCACATTTTTTGCCAAAAATTCAAGAGGAAAACTGGGGTGCGGCTTATATTCGAAATATTCTAAATCACACTTCGTTTAAAAAAAATTATATTCGTAATTAGTAATACAGGGTGTTCTACTCCTGAAATAATATTCCAAGAAAATTATTTTTTCTATAATTTCTGTCTGAAAATTGTGCTGCAGCCTATACACGCACGCGGCCTATACATGCATAAATATGGTATATATTTCCATAATTTTTCATATTTTGTACTTATAAATATTGCAGTTTGTTACAACTGCTTTGTATTAATGAAACCATTCTCACTGTTTGTTACAAAAGTGTAATGATGGGGATACTAAACTAGATAGAGTCATGGTAAGGCAATTTATAAGACACAGATAAGGAAATTACTGTTTAAGTTTTATTATGTTTGGTTTCTGTTGTTTATCCTTAAAGAGAGCATTTACATTCTGAAAAAAAAAATGAACCTCTTATACAGAATAAATAGTCACAATGAGATATTTCATCTCCTGTTCGAAGTCACAGTTTATTGTTAATTCTTGTGTTCCCTTTGGGACTATTTAGTTCAAATCTCAAAATGTAGAACTAGCTGGTTTTACAAGAATCTTGTTTTCCTCATTCCCTTCAAACTTTTCTCTCCAATTTGCCATAAGCAAGTATCCTCAGAGCTTATGTTACAGAACATTACAAGTATCAAGAAGTAAGTGATGACTTCGTGTTTGTGAACATTTGAGTATGTGCTTTTTGTGTTAAGCATTTAATACAAGATTAATTTAAAAGTCCAGAATGCATTTCAATGATTGAAAATCATATTTTGTTATTAGTGACATTCAATTTAAATACCACATCTAACATTTTTATTTGACAGTTGCATCTTTCAAATATGAAAATGTGAGAAATTGTGTGTGTCTGCTTTTTGACTGACTTGGGTTACTTAATGACACTTTTTCATCTGCATACATAATATTCCATTGAACCCACTTGCTGTATTGGAATTATGGGAACATTTAATTGGTCTGTATAAAGATCTAAATATTGAATACTGTCTCCCTTCCCACAGCACTATTTTTGATCATGAAACAGGGTTCTAAGTCAGAAGGTTTGTGTGCAGGAAACTGTTCCATGTGAACAGAGAGAAGAAGAATATGACCATACATATCTCGACTAGAAGACTTCTTCCCCCCCCCCCAGTCCAAAATAGACTCTAAAGCTTTCAATGAGACAAGCAACAGAATAGGATTCAGAACTTGCTTATAGTCTGTATTGTTTCTATGAAGCTTGTGTTAAAGGCTATAACCAATTCTCATTCAGTCACTGCATAGCAAATGCCTTTATGCTGCATGAAATGGCAGTCTCATTTTTCTTCAAATGCTGTTACAGATTCGAGGAGGCAGAGGCAAATCTCTCGAGAGCCTTGAGGACAACACGGAACATACGCACCACACGTTTAGTGCAGAGAATACTCAGACATTCTACTATCAGCAGCACCAACTGACACCTGGCCCATCTGGTGGGTGGAGACCCAGGAGTTACGATGACGGAGACATCACACCTACGAATGAAGCAGCTGTGACCCTTCATGAGGGTGGTGGAACTCTGCCGCGCCCTCGTGGACTAGTCCGGCCTCGTCCTGTAGCAAAAATCATGGCCAAAACTCGCCCCACAACGAATGATGGATCCACTTACATAATCCCAGACTTTGAAAAGCAATCAGCTTTCTGTGGCACTTATAAGAGTTTACCAAGAGACCTCATAGATATCAGTAAATATAACTTAGAACAGTACAATCCTGGTACTGGTGGTGGATGTTATATATCAGACTCAGTACCACCTACATCCACTATAATTGGGAATGATAGTCCCCGTTGTACACCAAAGAAAAGACCACCATCTCCTCCAAAGAGGCAGTCATCACGTGTAGGAGATCTTCCGTCAGACCTCCAAGGTCAAGGAGGATCTGATGTTGTTATAGACTGCAGTGGCCCTGTGCCAAAGGCTTCATCCTCTTCCACAAGCAGTACAACTACGACAGTTATCACAGTAGACCTTCATTCTACTGCTTCATCACCATCTCTCTCCCTGCCTGCTTACCCAAGTGGTGATGAGCTGACAGGTACAGAAGAAGAAGACCTTCCTCTTCCCCCACCTCCTGCTCCATCTTCGCCACCAGCCAGTGGTGGACTCAGAGACAAGTTTGAGGGCCTGACGATGAACTCGTCTCCACCGACAATGAGCCGGTCATGGGGCAATGTTGCTGACATCACCGGAACATCAGATCAGCATTCATCTGCTTCAACTGTGGAGCAGGAGTTCATTGCTAGCCTCGCCCTGCAACAGAGCCGGAACGGCTCTGACGCCAGTTTCAAGGTATGTGTTGTACTTAAAGTCGGCATAATATGAATGAATATGAATCTGATTTGTAACCACATAAATAACTAAACTTTCTGATAGTAGAGTAAATTTTTCAGTGATATCAACATCTGCCATTTGGTAGTGACTCTGAGGCAGCTAACTGCATCTGCCATTTCTCAGCGTTCCACCTTAGTTCCATAAAATGCCTTAAAAACTTGTGCGTATTTCATGTGACTCCATTCAAGCGATATTCCTGGCCCATTGTACTCTCCTTGACTTCAGTAATCTAATAATATAATAGATGATCTATATGAATTACCTAATAAGTGTTAAAATATGTATTTGAATCACAAGGGGTGTAAATTTACCGCTGTAAATAGCTGTTTTATTTTGTATTTTAGACTCTTTATTGTTTAATGTTAAATGAGGCTTGTTTCGGTAAAATTTTGTGTCTTTGCTTCCAGCAAATGTACTCTTTTGTTACTGAATTCCCATCTTTGCAGTATAACCAGTTGTTCTGTAAAATTCTATTACATTTTCATTTAAATTGCCACACAATTATTACAGTTTGAATATCTGAATAGTCTGTAGCCAGAAACTGTTTTCTGTGTCCTGTGGCCTGCATGTGGTTGTAAATGAAAGCTGGTAACAGTGAAGTATCATTCATGAGTCTGTGTGTGTGTATATATGTATATGTACAGTTTCTTAACATCATTGGCATCATCTGATTCCTGATCATCATTCTTTTCCATCTATCCATTTTCCTTCTAATTCTTTTTCTGCTACAATGACAGTGTGTAGTGTACTAGGTAATAAGGACATACATTTTGGAATGGTTACCATAATTGTGCTTTAGTTGACCAGTTTAACGTGATGATGGTAATTGTGGCATTGAAGTACATTTTTGAGTAAATAACTGTCTGATTGTAGATGTTTTTTGTATTGGTAGTCTACACAGTCCATAATTTGAGGTTATGGGGAACAGTTATTCATGTGTGGAATGTATATTTAAAGAACTGAGTTAAAAATGTCTCTCTCTCTCTCTCCTCATCCTTCTTGGATCAATACACTTTATCCAGTGTTTCATTTCCCACCTTGTAAAGAAGAAACAGACTTTGAATTTCTTGATTAGTGGAAATGAACCCCCCCCCCCAGATTAATCTTTGAGCCAATTTCTGGACTTCTTCAGAACCCTGTACAAGTATAATGTCCTTACTTTTGTCTGTTATTATGTGTAAATTTAATTATGAATTATGTAGTGTTATTTAATTTTTTCCTGTTTGTGTGTGTGATGCATGTGGTAGAATACTTTTAAGTAAGTTATTCAAACTTGAAACTAAGCCAGAGCAATATCATTTTCGGTTGTGAAAGCGAAGTATGGTAATCATTTCTAAAGGTGACTGAACTTTGTGTAAAAAATAGACTGCCATTTGAAAACATAATCTAATTTCTTTTCAAAATGCATTTGACATCTGATGGTAAATTCTCTTTCCACAGTCAAGTTCCAGCACGGAATCAGATTCACTGCCGTTTGCCAATGAGAATGCTGGAACTATCAAACAGCGTGCTGTACGACCGCACCCCACTCTTACCACCGTGGATTACCCGAAACAAGGTGAGGTTTTACTTTCCTGCATGTAATTACTTTATGTATCAGACTACAAAGTTTAATGTTTTACACTCATCCACACACACATCATCTTTTCTTTATGGATGTTGCAGAAAAGTGGATAGAGTTTTATATATGCTGTCCATAGCATATACTAAACTACAGTA